TTTCCTCTGTCTTTAGTACAACGTAAGCTGATACAAGTCACTCCTATTGGTTAGATGTACGATAGTATTGAAATTTTTTCCGATAAGAGAGTAAATGGATCACATGACTTATCCCATTTCAATGGTTCGATTTACGTCACATCAGGTTTAATCTAAAATATTTAATAAAATAAAATAGACTTGAACCTTAAAAAAGTCCTCAACTCACTCCTATTTTTACACGATTTGACCAATAAGCCTACAAGTTAGTCTCTTGACATAAATTCTTTAATCAATCCATTGTCATTTAGGCATGGCCTGGGTTCTATATCATTCCGGTATAGAAATATATTTTCTGCACAATCTCATTGACAATGGACATTATTGTAAGCTTTTATGCTTGAGATAAGTACTTTTATGCTTTGATACATTAAGGTTCAAGTAATTTTTGTCGTATTATTTATATGCTCTTCTCAAATTTTCTTACTGATCAAAGAAAAGGCTATAATTCAATTTTCTCTTTTTTTTAAGAGATGAGAAAAATATAAGATAGTGTCATTGGCAACTTTTGAGCATGGCTAATGATTAAAGGGGCTCTGAGTGGTAATATAATAACATTCTAGGTTGAGGATTGAGGGTAACGATGATACAAGAGTATATGGGATGCGGAATTTCAATATGAAGAATAGATTTATATTTAATTTTCCTATTTAAGCAGTTTAATTATTGATTCACCGGTTGAATCAATAATATACTAATCCAGTACCATAATCGAGTTAATAACCGATCCGAGTTTAATTACATTACCAAATAGGTATTGAAGCCTTCAAATTAGACATATAATTTAAATTGATCCAAGCTAATAGCCATCTTGGACTCAAAATATTTTGAGTAGGTCTGATTTATTTAAACAAAACCTAATCTAATTCAACTCATTTTATACCCCTATTCTTTGGTGTGAAGGTTGAAGCATGGTTATTAAAATCGGTAAAAAACAAAAACAAAAATAAACAACGTGAGCCTTAATTAATGTGACAGAACAATAACTGCCACTCCATTTATTTTATAAAATTTATTATTTGAGCTGATTGTACAGAAATCAATGAATTGTTGAATAGTATTAGATATGAAAAATTATAAATATTTGGATATTCTCACGTGAAAAAATGGTCATGTGATTATGTTATTTGATCATAATTATTTATTTAAAAATTATACAATTTTCTCATCATCAATGAATGATTGTGATCAAATAATATAACCACGTGATTACTTTTTCACACGAGAACATACATTCTCATAAATACATTTAATTTTGAAAAATTTGTAATATATTATCGTTACATTGATATTTTATTATTTCATTTGATGAATGTACCAAAAAATAAAAATAAAATTTACATTTTAAAATTTAATAATTAATACCTTATTATTTTTTAAAAGGAAAAAGTTTAAAACCTCGTGTGATTTTGCTCCATAATTAATTCCTTATATTTTTTTCTATCACTTACCTCCTTATGATATTTTCTATTTAAATCCATCTATAACATGTTGAGTATTAGGTTAATTTATTCATTTTGCCCCTATGTGATTAAAAGAAAAAAGCATAAGGGTGTAAATGATAAAATATTAAACAATAAAAGAGTTTTTGAACTTTTCCCTTACAATAATAATAAAAATATAAAAAAATTTCTCTGAGAAATAATATGGAACTGAACATGCTAACAGGTGTATATGACCATTGCTAATGAATGGTGTTTTGTTCAATATCCACTAGAATTTGTTGCCCAATAAAAAAAATTTATTGACTCATAAAAAAATAAGAATTGAGTTGAACATTGCTATTTTTTTTTATTTTACGCTTTTGCAATGTAGTTAAATTATGAATAGATAGTGTAAAGTTCTTATAATATGTCGTGAAATGTATTTTTTTTGTTGGTATCCTGGTTGGGTTAAAACCCCAACACAGGCTAAAAGGAAGAAATACAACGAGTTCTACTAAAATCACTTATATCAGCTAAATACAATAGATTAATACAAGGGGGAGGGGCCCCAAAAGAACAAAAATCTTTAATGATTCGGATTGACCAAAGGAAGGTTTGAGAGTCAATCAGCACAACAATTTTCTTCTCTATACGTGTGTTGTATCTTAACTATCCAGTCTTTGTCCAACCATGCCTGTATGCGAGCAACAAGATGAGACTCACAGGCTGGCCCAACCCTTGAGTTGAGCCACGTGACTACTATTTTAGAGTCACTTTCAATAATTACTCTTCTCCAACCACCCTCTCAAGCCATTTGGATTTCCTTCAATATACCCCGTAATTCTGCTACTATGGCACTGCAATGGCCTACTCTGTAGCAGAAACCATTGAGCCATTTTCCCACACAGTCCCTAATCACACCTCCACAAGAAGCCAACCCCGGATTACCTTTGGCAGCACCATCGGTATTCACTTTAACCCACCCCTCATCCGAAAATTTCCAAGGAACCATAATATCCTTTGAACCCGCAACAGCATCACCATTGTAGCTGCATCCTAAATTTCTTTGGATTGGCTTAAAACCAAATTATAGTCATAAGCATTATAAAGGCTTATACTTTTGTGCATTAATACATTGTGCCACTTCCAAAGTCAAACAGTAGCAACAAAGGTAGTATGCCAAGACACACCCTTACCATCCACACTATTTACCTGAAGATTAGATAAGACCCAATCATCCTATGACATTAAGAAGAATGATGGGCAATATTTATTAGCCTCTAATCTTTGCCAAAGAACCTAAATACTGCATCAGGCTCTAAACACATGATTCAAATTCTCTTCCTCCTCATTACACAACACACATAATGGGTTGCCCATATTCATATTAGCTAGTCTTCTCATTGTTAATAATCTTTTGTGAGCAACCTTCCACAACAACAATTGGATTCTGAGAGGTCCTTTCCAACCCCATATAGTTTTCCGTAATATTGAATTATTACTCTCTATTGTAGCTAAACCAGATAAGCACTTATAAATACCTTTCGCCATGGTTCCTTCATGACCAGGCAGATTCCACTTCATATGATCACTACCATCCTGCGGGTGAGGAGGTAAGATACTCCTAATAATTTGCACATCTTCATTAGGCAACCAGTTCGAGAGCCTTGACAAATCCCATTCACCAGAATCGTTAACATACTCAACAGCGCTCTTTGAAGCTTCTTCCCAAGGAATTGAGTTTGCAATCTTATCCATAAGTCTCCCCAAACTAGGAATCCATTTGTTTTGCCAGAATTTCACATTTGTTCCATCTGCTAACTCCCAAACAGAGTACTCATCCATCTTCCTCCATGCCAAACAGATATTTTTCCAAAGAATTGAATCTCCACTCTTAAAGGAAAAATTATACATACCAGTTTGATTAGGAGCATATTTAGATTTTAGAATTCTCACCCATAATGCTTGTGGATTGGAAAAAATATTCCAAGCTAACTTAGCCAAGAAAGCATCATTGAAGACAGCCAACTTCTTTAAACCAAGCCCTCCATGAAGCTTCGGTTTTGTAAGAGAATCCCAATTGATAAAGTGCACACGCTTAATATTTTCAGTATCACTCCAAATAAACTGTCTCTGAAACTTTTCAAGTTCATTACAAACTTCAATGGGTAATTTACCATACTACATTTGTTGTGAAATGTTAATAGAACGATGTTGAAAAGAACATCATTTATTTCCCATTAGTTTATTCAGTTCTATGTTGTTCCTCATATCGAGTTTTTTTTAATTGTTATAAGAAAAATTCAAAAATTCTCGTGGTTTATTTTTTTATAACCCTTTTTTCCTAATCATTTACTCAACATTTAATGATATTAACGATGAATTTAAATGAAAAAAGTATATAAAAGGTAAGTGATAGAAAAAAAATACAGAGTTAGTGGGGTTCCTTGGCGCTGAGTTAGTGGGGTTGGACATGTGTTCGATTCCCGCTGAATGCATTCTTGGGGAAGGGGCTGAGCCTTTAGCCATCACTGACCCCGCACTCCGGATTAATCTTATAGCCGGCTCAAATAGTCGAAGCTTGTGGGGATACCGGAATGAGCCAACTCGCCTCAAAGAGGTAATTAGGATTGGGTAACTCAAAAAAAAAAAAAATACAGAGGGATAAATAATTATGGAGTAAACCAATTTTATTTTTTTTTGACTTTTTCTATTTTAAAAAGCAACACATATATACATTTTTGCAAAAGTATTTTTTATTTTTTTTAAAGTATTTGCCATGATAAGTTGAGTCATTCAATTGTAACTAGCAATCTTGTAACCCTTCAAGAAGAGTTAATGATGGGTGCAGGAATAGGATAGCCTTTGTAACAATTAATAAAGATTATTATTAAGGAGGATGATATTCTTACACTAATTAAATTTATTATTTCTTATTATTAAATTTTAATCATTATTTTTTGTTCGTCTAACGGTTATAATTTATTAAAAAATTAATAATTAATTAATAAATATCATTCAATAAATTATAATAATCAAATTGTTAAAAATTAACAGTTAAAATTTAATGGTAAGAAATGATAAATTTAATTGGTGATAAATAGATCCTTCCCATTATTAAAATGATAAATAATTTTAAAAGAATAGTTTAATTAAATTATCTAAAAATATTAAAAAATTGGAAAGGATTAAATCCATATATCTTTTTTGTTGTACTCTTTAAATGATTAAGATTAATAATAGATTAATATTGGAAGAAGATTTAACATTTTCCAATTCCAACCATCATTGATGGCATACCAAAAAAAAAAAAAAGGGAAAGAAACGACACTGATTCATTTGATAGGGACAAAGACTGAACAAGGCACTTCTTTTATTTATTAATAGAAAAAAGAAAGACAGATGGAAAAAAAAAAGCCAAAACAAAAAGACAAAAGGACCGACAAGGGTATCCCTCGTGAGTGTCTTTCCTGACAGAGATATATAGCAATAGCATGTCCGTTTCCGTTTTATCCGCCATAAAGTAACGTAATTTAGTTTTGGGCTTTTAGTATTTTAGCAGTAAAAACCTTAAAAGAGAAAAGATCAATGATCCTTTTTTGTAGCAAATAAAAACGCTAACACAAGATTCTGTATAAAAATCACACAACAAAGAGCAGTGTGTGTTAGTGTGATTAAGCTCAGAGCTTCTTCGAAGTTGAGAATGAAGCTGATTCAGATAGCGTTTGCCTTTGTTTCTGTGGTGTTCTTCGCTGGATCTGCTGAGACACAGACACAGACACACACTCTCTCTCCGCTGTCTTTCTTAGAAAACGATGCCGTTTCACGTGCAGCAAAGCCTTCACCCCAACCTCAACCTCTCATGGTTGCTCTCACTCTTATTGAAGGAGCTGCTTCTAAAGGAGCTGGTATATCTCTCTCTCTCTCTCTCTCTCTCTCTCTCTCTCTCTCTCTGAATTAAACTATTTGTCAGTGCCTATCTTTTGTGATATGCCTCTTTTCTGAACGCTACACTCTTTGTAATGATTTGAATGTTGGCTTCACCCCTAAGCCACTATGTATTTAGCACCCTCGGTAATTAACATTGCGTTTACCCAAATTCTCCCTATTATACTTAACTCAAGAAACCCTTGACTGGAAAATGTTTGTTTCATGTGCAATGTTTTTTTAGTTCACTGACTGCTAATGAGACTACATGTGTTTAAGGACTAACTGAGTACTAGGAGTAGGACGGACAGCATAATGTGCTCGTTTGTTTTGGTTAGTTGAGGTCTTCATAATTGATGGAAGAACCTATTTCGTTGCTGTTAACATATATAAAATCATTAATGTAACGTCACCCAACAGCTTAAGCTTTTGAGTTGAATTGGTTCTTTACATGGTATCAGAGCTTCGTCGCCCTCCACTTTCTCTTGTGGACTTTCTTAGCACAGGTAGGCTGGGCTTGTTGCATCTTCCACTCTTCAAGTTCAATGGGCTCTCATGTGAGGGGGCGTGTTGAGATATATAGGAGTTTATAAGGCCTTAGGTACTCTCACCCTTTGAGCTAGCTTTTGGGGTGGTGTATCCCAAGGTTCTTTACAGTTACAAAGACTGTCTCGAATGCTTAAATTTCTTACTCTGCTTCAAATGGGTCATTTAAGTTTTATATTTTTGTCCTACAATGCCAGTCTGTTTGGATGGAACATTGCCTGGTTACCACTTGCATCCTGGATTTGGATCTGGTGCAAATAGCTGGCTCATTCATTTGGAGGTATGTAAAAGAATGTCCAAGTGTTTTTATAATGAGTCTCAATAACTTTGCTTTCAAGCTTTAACGAATTCTTAAAATTTGAATACTTTATACAACTGTGCTAATTTGTAGTCATGCTATTATGTATACCTCTTTGAATGCTTAGTTATGCCTTGCTGCAGGGAGGAGGATGGTGTAACACCATCAAAAATTGTGTCTTCAGAAAAACTACTCGTCGCGGTTCCTCCAAATACATGGAGAAGCAACTACCATTCACAGGGATATTGAGCAATAAACCTGAAGAAAACCCTGGTTTTTTCATTACCCTACATATGAATATATTAGTTACTCTGTCAAATTAAACTCAGCACTTCTGGAGGTTGCAAGATAACTCAAGCCTGTGTGTGGACATTATCTTACGTGCGCAGATTTCTTTAACTGGAACAGAGTCAAAGTACGGTACTGTGATGGGGCATCTTTTAGTGGAGATAGTCATAATGAGGTCAGTGAGAGTATGGCAGTAAATATGTTTTTCCATTTATCTATATAATTATCCATCCATTCAGTCAATTAGCAGCTACTCAGTAAAATTACTAGCCATGAATTTGAGTCCACAGAACACACAACACGTTTAGTGCCATTGTTTAGACATATTGCCTTACGCTTCAATGGCAAAGAAGCAAAGTTTTGTTTCTTTGTTGGGGTGGGGAGACATAAAATTACGGCAGGAGCAAAGAGCAATACTCTGTTCTCCTGGTCATAATGTCATATATACCATGCTTGCATCTCTTACAGGCAACTCCTGCGACAAAGTTATCCGTAGTTTCAAATTTGTGTACTTCTATGACAGAAAGGAGACATACTTTTATGTCTATATTATTCAAACATAGACATCTTTCTTATGGCACAAAGGAGACTTCTAAATTTTCAAATTTCAACAGAAACTATGCTGTCCTAAAATTATTGAAAACATGAAATCATCTTATCTATTTGTTTTTATGAATGTTTGCTGGTCTTTTCTAGTGAACAGATTCTTTGGATTCTTCATTTTCCAAATTTAGGATTGTATTAATATGTGAATTCGAACTCCTTTCAGGCTGCCCAGCTTCAATTTGGAGGACAAAAAATATGGCTAGCTGCAATGGAGGAATTAATGTCCAAGGGAATGCAGAAAACCAACCAGGTTTCCCATGTCTCTAATTGTAATTTGTTGTTCAATCTTCATTGTGCATGGATGCTGATAAATAAATATCAGGCTCTTTTGTCTGGATGCTCAGCGGGCGGTCTGGCATCTATACTACATTGTGATGAGTTTCAGAGCTTGTTTCCAAAATCTACCAAAGTGAAATGTTTTAGTGACGCAGGGTTCTTTCTTGATGCGTAAGTGATATGTTTTGTTTTATATGACTTCTGCTAGCTTGCACCCTTGCCTAGAAACTTAGATATAATTGATTATCTGTTCAATCATGTAGAATTGATGTATCTGGGGGTCGCACATTGAGGAATCTGTTTGAAGGTGTAGTTAACTTACAGGTAGTATATAATGTGGTAAAAAATAGTCTAAATAAACTATATTATTTATGGATCTTTATGTTTTTCTGAGCTCGATTATGAAGAGTCATTTGGTTCAAGCTTGCAATAAATGCTTATAAAACTTGTATAAATATGTCATGTCATTGATGTTTTTGAAATTGTAGGAAGTGCAAAAAAATCTGCCAAAAAGTTGTCTTAACCAACTGGACCCAACTTCGGTATCTTCCTTACTCTGGATGTCATTCTATTCAGAACTTGGAATTGCTACACTTGCAAATTTTAAACATATAAACTCTCTTTCTTCAGTGCTTCTTTCCTCAGAATTTGATCAAGCATGTTGAGACTCCATTGTTTCTACTCAATGCAGCTTATGATGCTTGGCAGGTAACATAAATGAATACACTGTTTCTCCTTTAGTTTTATGTTAATGATGTGCCTAATTATTTTTGGTTACAAGCTTGCGTCTGTTTATTTTTCCTCAAAGTGCTATCATATGGATGCCATAGTTTCTAGTTTGACTAATTTGTTGTCTAGGATTTCCCTTTGTTTCAAATGGTTCTTGCTGTTACTTTTTCCTCTTCTCTTTTTTCTTTTGTGCTATAAAATAAATATGCTTTGGACTTTTACCTACACAACCCCTAATAAAAGCCTTGGCCCAGCAGTCAAATTGAATACAACCATTATTGAGTAAATTAGAGTTTCGAATGTTAGTGATTTTATGTCTAAGCAGAAGGCCCCAGGGCAAGCAATCCAGCAGTCATTTTTACAATATTTATTGATGTTGATCCCTTTATGGCTGCTGCAGTTTTTTTTACCACTGAATTCCTTATGATATGGACTAAACTCTCATAATTGTTCTCGTTAGCTCCAAGCAAGTTTAGCCCCACCTTCAGCAGATCCTCGTGGCTCTTGGAATGATTGTAAATCAAATCACGCAAATTGTAACTCGTCTCAAATTCAGTTCCTCCAAGGTGATTTTCATCTCTACTGATGTGAATTATGCATAGCAATTTATGTATATCTATAATTATCTGATTTCCTTGTAAAATATTATATCTCTTATTTACAAAAAATATATATATTATGTCTCTTCTTTGAATCAGACTTCAGAAATCAAATGCTAAATGACGTGAAAGACTTCTCAAGGACATCTCGAACTGGATTATTCATAAATTCCTGTTTTGCTCATTGCCAGTCTGAGAGACAAGATACATGGTTTGCTGATGACTCTCCGCTTCTTAATGACAAGGTATGCCTGATTTAGATTTCTATGCTTCTAAAAACAGTGCAGGTGGAATGTTACATTAGAATTGTTTAGACTGTTAACTCTTTCTGCTAATTGGGAGTATTAGAAATACTTTGCAAGGGAGATAATGGATACAGTGACTCCAAAAAGATTTATAAAAACCTTTCTTATGATGAAAGCTCTTATTAAGAAGAACTTGGCACGACCACATTTCAATACTATCTTTCTATAAAGCACTGATTCGTTTAGAGTCAAATCCTTGCAGCTACCATTTTTGTAAAGAAAAGAAATGTGCAATATGGAAATAAGTTGCGTTATATGCAGAGAAATCTTCTGAGATGCTAGGGATTGTTGACTAATTACCATATTAGTTCAATATTGTTGAAATATTGCAGATGTGGTGGACAACGTGAAGCTATTTTATTTAGAATCTATAGGTTTTGATTGCTGATTCTATTTTGCTAAGTCTAGGACAATTGACTTTAATGCCTTGGATGAAATATTCAATACTAATGCTTCGTTCCCTCCCCCTTTGTATTTATTTTTCACAAAAAATAATCATCTGTGAGAGTAATATATTTTGTGGTGCAGCCAATTGCAGTAGCTGTTGGAGACTGGTATTTCAATCGGGAAGCTGTCAAAGCTATTGACTGTGCTTACCCCTGTGACAATACCTGCCATAATCTGGTCTTCAAGTGAGTGAAAGTTCTGTCTTCTCATATGGTAATTGGATATTTTCAATTTCATCATTGTGAATGCATTTGATGCATTTAACATTGATTTAATTGTAATGGAAAGACCATTCTTGGCTGAGGTTGCAATTCCTTAGATTTTATGATCATTTTCACCAAGAAGTCATGTTAATAAGATTTCTTGGGATTGAAAATCCAAAATTAGCCAATGAGCTTGGGCTTTTTCTGCCACCTTTCTATCTTTGAAGATATTATATTTTCCCGTACTAATTTTTTGCAAGAACCCCAAAACGATGCCTTAAGGGTGCTGCCCCTTTTTGAACTGATCACAACATTTAAGTTTCCCATAAATAGAAGCATGATTCGGGAAAGGATCATAGTTTCTTATGACTTGCACTCGAAAAGGCACCACCTGAACGGGTCCCGACTGGAGTTCTGATGCTTGGTCTTTTACCAATAGGATTTTATATATGATATACTTTAATGATAGGCCTTATATTGATACTACATTCATTTGTAGAAGGTCGGTAAAATGGAACTGATTTCGGTTGCTGTATTCATTCTCTCCCTCTTTTCCTTATAGACTAGGTATAACTTGTAAAGAACTATTTCAACCTAAAAGTTTAAGTTGTTAAGTGAAAGTTAAATTAATGATTATATTTTTTTAACACATTCTTCCAAATGATAGCTTATTAGGCTTAAAGAGTGAATGTTGTAAGTCGTCTTTTAGGCCCTTAATCCCTTGAACGTAATGACCAGTCCCATATTCTGGCGTGAGGTCCATAGTAGCCCTCGGTTTGTTAAGCCCTTACCAACACCAAGTACGTGATTTGGACAGCACTCAGCGAACACTGGATTGTTAAAAGAGTTATAAGTTTATGACAGGATGAGATTTCACTGAAATTTTCCAACTAAGATAAAAAAAATAACCCTTTCTAATTTTCTTGCTATTTCGTCCCTTTTAAATATACCAAAAATAGCATCCTTTGTCTTTTCTCCAATTCCACTGTGACACTGAGATTCACATTTTCCTACCTTGCAGTGTTGGTAGATCCGCCATGGTGGACTCCCTGTCCACAAGGTTGACTTTTATTTTACCCTTCCCTCACTTCTGAATGCCATCTTTGCAATTCCTCATTGGGACTGAAATTATCATATTCCTCCTTTGCAGTGATGACACATATACCATGATATATTCCCACTCGACGAGGTTGACTTTTAGTACTGGCCTATATATGCTAAGTTCTTTATTGCCATTTACATGCTTCTAATGCACTATGGGGAGGTTCGTTTGTCCCTGTTCAATCCTCCATTTAAGTCACCTACAGTTAGTTATCTATGTCATCTGTTAATTAAACGTAAGGCCTGGAATCAGCAGTAAATATTCTAGAATTTGAGATCTCGAAGGTCCAATTTTGTTAAGGAAGAATGGCCCGTAACTTTGTAAGTACTTTTCTCCATTCTTCTAATCAATTAATAGCTACTAAGGGCATCGTTCACTTTGTAATCTCGAGTTCTTTGGACATTATAACACAAAAGATTGTAGTGTGACTAATGTATATTTAAACCAACCAAGGGAGAGAATGTCTATCCTTGGTAAGTGAACTAAAATGATTAAAATTTTTGCACAATCGTTCGCGACTTGTCAACTTAGAATTAATGAAGTGCTATGAGTTTGTTGCCCTAGTCAATTGATTTGTCTTGCAGCCTACGTTGTCATAATCACGCATTAATGTTTTACATACTCTGTTACAAAAATTGTTCTGTCAGATTTTGACACGTTCCCGGAGCATGTAAGCAAATCCAAGTTCGACGTGTTTATGTATTAGTTACAAGTTCAACATGTGGTCGATAGATGTGGCAACTGAACTCATATTTAACGGGTATGGTTTGAGTATGGAAAATTTAATGGAGTCGCTGTAGTTAGATCTGGATTTAAGTAATATACTATCGAAGTCAGTAATACCTACATTATATTTGTATATTAAATAAACTTTATATGATTTAAATTTTTTTACTAATTCCTTATATTATAATGTAACTAGAAGAAAATATAATTTTCGTTCTTTTTTTATCAAGAAAACATAATCTCAATACATGCGCACAGTATTATTAACTATTAAATCCATTTTATCACCACTAAAATTTCACTTAATTTTCCCCCAATTAATTGTTGTTATTTTGCCACCGAGGTAAGAAAATAAATATATCAAATGCTTTTTCCTTCTGGTTAAAGTTAAATTTATTTTATTAAAGTGATTCTCTTCATGCTGGATTTGAACCGAGTACTTTGTGCTTGGTTGAAAGACAAGTTCCAAACCAACAAGCCACTCTGAAACTAGATTCGTTTATAACCAGTCATTATTCTTTACGAAAAAATTAGGATTATGACATATTTTTCTTTAATGAATTAAAGGGTTCGTTTTTTCTGCAGCTACTGCATATAAGTTATTTTCAGTAAGCCTAATACGACGTCGTTTTGAGTTTTTAATCCCGATCGTTTTGAGAGTAAATGCAGATAACTTATCTGCATTAACTGCAGAAATATTATTCTTTAAATTAAAAATGAGAACATAATTCATACTTTTTATTTGCTTAGTAATAATATTTTGGCTAGTATTATGTATTTTTTATTTATATTGATAAAAAAAATATTTGTTTAAATAAATTAAATATTTAAAATTGAAATATGTTTTTGTGTGTGGATAAAACAGGAAAGAAATATTACATTTATTGAGTTTGATTCATTAAAGAGACAAGTTAATAAAGAATAATTTAGGTAATTAAAGTTATAAGTAATTAAGAAATAATATGAATAGACAAACAAGGTATTAATAGTCTCGTCACTCTCGTCTTCTTCATGTAGGCACAACATAATGTATAATCCTATTTAAGTTCCTGAAATATACACTTATTATCAGCTTTGTGTCATTTTAAATTTATATGTATGTTATCAAGATTCAATAGAAAATAATAAGTAAATTTAAAAAATAAAAAACATTCTCCCAGCTTTTACATATATATTGACACACATGTATGGTAACTAAATAATCGTACGTTAGTCCTTCAAAGACACACTTCTTATCTTTCAGAAAAAGATACAGTTGTTATCAACTTCGTGTCATTTTAAATTTATATGTATGTAAACTAGTTTCTGGTTTATAATGTTAAAAAAATAAGTTGATTTAAGAAAAAAAATAAGTCTCCATAAATGTAATATTCTTGTTGACTTTTCAATTTGTTGACTTTTGGAAGAATATGTGAGTATAATTTATTAATAGTAAATATATACAGTATAACTCAAACACACACACACATATATATATATATATATATATGAAAGCAAAATAAATACACATATAAATTATATTATATCTCTTTTAATTTTTTGTTAAAAATATAACTATATTTTATAAAGATAACGTAAGATTATATATCATTAAAATATTTTTATCATAATAAATTTAGAAATATTTAAGAATTAATATAAATATTTTTTGTTTTAAAAATACTTAATGATGCTCAGTCAATAATTAGTTAAAAATAAAAAATACAATGAAGCGTAATTTTCAGTCGGAATTTATTATCATTTTAACAAATTACAAAGTAATAAAGTGAAATTTACTTTATATATAAAAATTTGATGCAACATTTAAGGAGTCATTATAGGATTGTTGAGTCATCCCATAATTTGCGTGACTACTATTCCAATATATTTTTTAAATTAGTAAATTTGTCATATTCCACTTGAATTTATCATCTCATTATAGAATTGTGAAGAGTATATTTTATTGCTAGCAACTTTTTCGAGCCATTCACACTTCTATTATCATTTGCCATTCACACTATTGTATCTTACATACTTTTTCATCTTATTCAAACTATAACTGTACAGGGGAAAAGTGACCGTCACTCAAAAAGGGTACTTCAACCTGAAACCCCCACTCCTTCTGCCCGGGAGGGGGGAAGGAGGGATTTATGGAAGAAAATTCTTGGAACTACAAGTAGAATTATATAACCACCATTCATGGTGGGAACAAAAGAAAAGCCCAAGTATAATATAACTATATAACTATATATATATATATTCTCTCAATCGCAAAAAATGAGGGAGTAGGTATGAGTTAGGAGAAAATTAAAGAGTCATGTGCTATATTTGGAGGCAGATGCTAGAGCTACAGCCTGCGCCCACACCTTGAGCCGAGCCTTCACATCTCGTGGATCGTCACCTATATTACAAAATTTGGGAACAAACAACTTGATCAGAGAGATCCATTCATTTCTTTTTTTTCTTTATTAAGACAAATCATAAATTGCATCATTCTTTTGCTCACTATGGTGTACAAGTTAACATATATAGAAGAAAAAAAATGAAATGGTTGACTGGTATCTTGTTAGATTTGGCTTTAGCTACTACAAAGCAGAAAGGCAACAGCATTTAATTACCATCAGACTTTATTAGGAACATAAATTGAATGTTCCACAATGTAAATTGTATTGTGCTTGTGCATATTCTTGGAGGCAGGGGCAGGAACATATAGATAGATAGATAAAAACATACATACATACATACCAGGACTAGAGATGCGCATATTGGCGATGGGTGAATTGCTACCACTGCTAGTGTCGAGTGTTGAATTGGAGAATGAGAGATGAGAGGGCATTTCAAGCATGCGTTCGTGTTCTAACTCAAACCCAAGATCTCTACAAGCCTTCACTTCTTCCAAGTCCATGCACAGTGACCTTTTCCCACCTTTGGGCCTTGTTATCACCATAACACCTGTCCCTGTGCTACCACCACCACCACCACTTTGATCACTCTCTCCACTAAACCCTTGAAGTTGAATCAGATTCTCCTCCTCCTCCTCCTCTTTTTTCTTGCTATAATTAGCTGCTGGTTCAAACAACCATCCATCCCTTCTTATTCTCCTGCTGCTCCTGCTCCTCCTTCTCCTCGGATCATTCTTCTTGGTTTCCTGTCTCATGAACACAGTACCCTTTCCTGCTGCAGCCTCATTGTCACTTGCATAGTCCTTTACCGCAATCACCGTCTTTCCGCGGTTCCTCCGCCGTGGAGGCGTCGCCGGCAAAGAATAACAGCCACCCAATTCTTCATTTTCAGAGTCAGAGCACAACCCTGCTTGTATCTCCTTTCCATCCGAGAGTTCCCCATCTGCATCACCTTCGAAACTTTCAATGGACAAGTGTGACAGGAACATGGACACGGAATTATCAACATCATCGTCGTCATCATCGTCATCGACACCACACAAGGTGCTGCTGGTACAAACGGAAAGCCTGGACAAGTTGTGGGTTTGGGGATGCTGATCTTGATCATGATCATCATGATCATGATGATGACCAAACCCATCATCAATATCATCGTCAAAGTCTTCATCTTGCAAGGAAGAATGAAGGGTCATGGTCTCATCCGAAGCCATAGTATACCAAACAAAAAAAAGAAGTATCTTTTGGTGGATCAAGTGAAGAAAGAAAGTGTGAGTGAGAGAGAGAGAGAGAGAGAGAGAGAGAGAGTGTTGAGAGAAAGAGAGTTTCAGTGTTGAGTAATGTGAATCATTCGTTTGTCATTTCACGATAAGGGTGAGAAGAGAAGAGAAGTAAGCATCTTTAATCAACCACCCTATTTATGCCAATACCCAAATGCACACTTTACTTCCCTTTTCTCTTTCTTTTTCTTTTTTTATTTTTTTATTTTTTTAATACAAAACCATCAAACCACGATTCTTCTCATCGATTGTCGTATTGTTATTTTGGATCTTATTCTCAGAGTCAATTACTTCGTGAAAAGTGAAGCAAAATGGGGTTAGTTAAAGGAAAACGTTGAAATTGACCATCTATTCTAATTAACAGTCTTAGTGAGTGGCGAGAAGTTTCGGGTATCAACTTTATATTGATTCGCTTTGATTAGTTGTTTTTAACCAAAAATAGCGTAGAGTAATTCTTCATTGTCTTTTCTAAATAGATATTTTTTTATTTTTATTTTTGTCTTCATTAATTTTTAAACTCTACTTTTTATTATAATACATCATTTATTGATTTTGAGTTTATTATTTCAATAAATCCTAACTCCATCTGTAATCTTATTAAATCTAAACTATTGATTTGTACTTTAATTAAAAAATTATATTAACTTAAATTTTAATTTCTTAAATTAAACAAAGACGAAAAAAATATAAAAAAACTTGGCATTTCTTTAAACTATTGACATAAAGTTTGAGATGAATTTAAAAACTTTTTTTCTTATTTCCTTAATTTTGATCAATAATTACGCTCATTATCTACTGTGTAATTACCATGGATTCTATGAATAAACAAGATTATCATTTCTACTTTCATGAAACGCGCAGTTCACGCGGAGAATACAGTTGAAACAGACAGTTAGTAAAATATTAGTTAATTAATTTTAAATGATGTTATATAAACGACCAATGTTATTTAGTATTTTCTTTTTCTTTTTCGAAATGTTAGTAATCATAGTAAAATAAAAAGAATTGAGCTTAAGGTTTAAACCTATTTAAACCCAGTTTATCCATATCTTCACTTTTAATACTAACCTAGGTAGGATATAAAAGAGATAAGAACAGGGATGTTATGAAATGATGATTATTCAGCTTTCGGCCACAATCATCTACCAACAGGAGAAGAACACACTCGAATTTTTATGGGGCCCATTGAGATTGGCCACACTACCTTACCCTTGCCCAGGGGTTTTAATTATTTTATTTTTATTTTTTTATTTTTTTATTTTAACCTAACCACAGCAGAAGATAAAGAAATATATATTTTTCTCCACGTGCAACTCTGCTGATGTAATTTCGCCCTTTTTCCTGTTTGCTCCAAAGGGATTCAAGACACCTGTCCGCGTTTTATTACGCTTTCATTTTTATTAGTCAATTTTTTTTAATAAAAAATTATAAGATGAATATGACTTTCCTTTCAACATATGAACCAAAAAAATAAAAAATAAAACGAAAGGATATATTCATATTCACTCCCTTGGTCGTGGATAACAAAGTTAACACTGACAGAAGAAAACAGAACATCGATAGATAATAATTGTGTCAGTTTCATTCAGAGTCTGAACCACGTGGCTCTTAATGGGTGCAGCCAACGCTAAATCTTAACAACGAAGGAAATATTTTCGCTACTATGGTAGGCAACCACCGGGTAAATCCTTTACCAAATATAAAAAAATGTGACATATTTATATTAATTTTATCTTTATGGTTATTTATTTTATTTTATATTTTTGGTTGAGGAATACTTATTCCTGTACAAAAAAATTTAATCCGAATAAAGATGTGAGTACGAGTTAACGAGAAATTGGGGCACTGTCATTCATTCTTTTGGGAGCGCATCTTCGGTACAATTGTAACACGAAAATTGGATGCTACTAAATATTTTACTCCATGTATTATAGTATAAAATATAAAAGTTATTTTTTTTTCTCTTTTCGGAACAATTGTAAGTGATATGGTCCATTTCTATTTGTCGAATTTACCTAAGTTAAGAAATAATTCAATCCAAAATCTTAAGGTGTTGGGTGATGACTTTTTTAATGATTTATATATTCTGTAACACACCCCCTCACGCAAGAGCCCTTTGAGCTAGAAGCGTGGATATTGCACAGGCTCAATTTTTGGTTTACCTTTTGTGCTTTTTATTTTAATTTCACTTTAAAGTGGAGGCAGTGAGGATCGAACTAGTGACCTTGTAGTCACTTAAGCTCTGATACCATGTTAAGAACCAATTTAACCCAAAATCTTAAGGTGTTAGGTGAGGGCCTTTTTAATGATTTATATTAATCTCTAACAATCCTCACACAAGAGCTCTTTGGACTTGAAGCGTGGATATTGTATAGGCCTAATTTTTTATTTTACCTTTTGTGCTTACAATTTATATTACATTTTGGTTCATGAACAAATGTCTCTTTAGTTAGAACGAGTTATTTTTAATTCAACAACAGCACAATAAAAAAAATAACACTGGTAGACACAATAAACATTGATCAATCACACAAATAAATGTAAAGATTTCAAAACATTTTGCTATCAAGTTTTTATTCTTTTCGTTATTAAAAAAATAATAATGGGTAGAGAACTTCCCACCAAATTCAAACTCTTCCCTTAAAAAAAAAAATACAAAATTTATGAGTAATTAAATGAATTGTTGAAAGCAATTCAATGGTTTTTGGTGACAAACGCTGGGACGCTCACCGACCCTTGATAAACCATGTTTTTATTTTGAGAGAAGGAGGCTGGGACGGTTGGAGCGCCTCAAATCTGCCATTTTATTGTTTACACGTCCTAATTTAATGTTAAATCTGTTTATTCAAACTTTAATAAAATATAAAAAAAGTCTCACTTAACTTTTTTTTTAAATTAATTATTGCCAATGTCTAATTTGTTGCGGCATTTGTGAATTGTGTAGTCTTGCTCATATAATCAAGGTTTTAAGTTGAACAATGCTACTTTTATTTTATTTTTTAGTTGACCGCTTGAATTTTTTTATAAGAATTTTTATATAGTCATACCTATAACTGCAAGTTTGCAACTAATTAGTATGTCATCAACAATTGTGTGAGTAGTATTGTTCTTCTTTTCTATGTAAAAATGCAACATAAATTATACTTTGCAAAATAATAAATTTTAACTCATTATTATATTTTATTCTGGTTTGTAGAATTTAAATTAAAATACGAATAAGTTTTAATTCTGAATGTTTATGAATCAGTTGAGTTTAATTGATATAGTTGAACTGATTTTAAATAATAATTACTTCTTTCATTTGTCTCAATGTATAGCAAACTATTATCGTCCTCAAGCATGTTACTTTACTGCTATGACCAAGTAACTGTTTTTTTTTAATGCCTCTTAAGTACACAAAATTTGAATTAGACGTTACAAATAAAAAAAAAAGTGTTAGAGCTGGAAATAATAAAAATTCAGACAAATGATACTAAATAATATATCATATATAGATTTAAAAAATATTAGATATAAACTTTTCGTTACATTTGTATGCCTAATACTACACATATGTGAATATGAACTATAATTTTTACACTTTCACGCAGAAGCACATGTGTAAATTTCGAATATTCAACTAGTACTTAAAAAGAAATTCGGCCATACTTACATCACTTTATATTTTAAATTTGATTTTAATCCGTTGCAATTATAATTTTTCAATATTATTGTTTAGTAATATATTAAAAAAATTGACTTTCATGATTACTTTTTAATAAATTTATAAATTTTTAATAATATATTGTCGTAATGTTAATGATAGTATAGAATATTTGTTAATTGAAGATATTAAAATAATTAATTATAAAATTAAAAACAAAATAAAGTAATCAATCACACATGAAGTTGGATTTTGGTTGATAATAATAACATAGGAAATATGTGGTGACGGAAAGTTGGTCGAAATTTGTGTGGATTTGAATGGCATTGTACAACAATATTAAGTGAACTGATAGTGATAGACATGTTGGGTCCCTCAACGTTTGGCAAGTCGGAGTTTGTCTTTTAAGAAGACGTGATACTTTGATGTTCATTGTTAACGCTTGACATCAAATCCAGTTCTCACTCACTCGTGTTACTTACCCTGTCAGATGTTTTCTAATGACAATTGTTTTATCTCGGTGCTTTTTTTTAAAAAAGAAAGTTACATATTATTTTTTAAATCATAACTCATAAATTAAACAATAAAAATATACAAACCTTCAAAAAAAAAAAAAAACAATATACAAGGAACAATATAATTTTTTATAAATTTATAAAACTCATTACTCAATTTATAACTTTTAAAATATATAATTTAAGGGTTTGGTAAATGATATAAGTTATGTCATTTTAGGAGAGAGATAGACACGGAAAAACAGAAATCATGGAAGAGAAAAAGTGAGTGGTTTTTTTAATTTAAAATTCAAATTTTCTGTGTCTGTATCTCTCTTAAAATGACATAACTTTATGTCATTTAAAATGACAAACACTTTTCCCATAATTTAAATAGTGATGCATTTGTGTTTCTGAATTTAAAAGATTGTCTGTGACCCAACAATAATTATATAAAGTTCACATGCCAAAATTTGTAAGAAATATTAATGCCAACTTTTTTAGTATTATCGTAGGGATTTACTATTCTTATGCAACAAAAGACAACTTATCTTATGTTGCTGAAACAAATTATGTGAGACTTTTTACTTAAAGGCCCCACCATTTTATTAATATACAAGAGAGACTTATCTTATGTAACTGAAAAAAATATTTTTTCGTTATCGTAATTGAAGCAACATTGTCATTATATTTTAAAATGATTAAAATAGTAAGGAAAATAACAATTTAATTGAACACTGTGATTTGACGGATACTTGCAAAAATCTGAGGAAAATGATAATCACATCAATTCAACAAGAAATGCTATTTACGCTCACGCTCCAATGACAGAATAGCATTGACGTGCCAGGAGGAAACATATGTATTGTCATCTCGAATTAAAGTTACCTGTTTGGGTCATAAACATTTCTTTGGGCCTTTGACTCGGGTATCACTTGGTTGTGGCATGTTATGTTGTCCATTGATAAAAATGGTCAAACAAGCTGGCAAGTTT